TGAAAATCTTAACAGGCTGCAGGAGAGTGTGAGCCCCGAGTGAACCGGGAAACTATCGTAATAAAGAGTTAATGCGGAATTACTTCGCTAGCGAAAGTACAAGAACCAGCTGACGGAAACGGAGCCGTTGGAGCGGGAGGGGGTTTGGGGCTGCGGTTGGGGTCCCGGGGAGCGCCGGGTCGCTCGGAGCCCGGCTCTGGGGCGGCGGTTCCGGGCGGTGCTTTCCTGCCCTGGTCCCTCGGAGCCAGGCGGGTCAGTTCTCAAGGGCTGCTTCTCAGGCAGCGTTTTCCTTTGTGCTCAGGAGGGATGCGCTGAAGTGCTGGCTCCCTAGGACGTCAGCCCAAAATGTTTGCCATCGTGTTTGACTGTTTTTTTTCCAGCCCTATTAAAACCTTGAAAGGGTAACGTTGTTGTTTCCTTATTAAAACACTAAGATTTATAGAGTGCGTGATAAAAATGCTATTCTTTGTGAAATTCTAAGTATAATGGTGAAGTTGATATAAAGAGAAGATAAATACTCCTGTGTCTTTAAGTTTGAAGTATACTGTCATCATTAAGAGGAGACACAACCGGCTGTATGAATTCTCTGAATTATTTCATCTTTCTTCCGTGTTGTTGTGTTTTTGTGTGGTGGTGTTTTGTTGTGTTTTTTTTTTTCCCTCTCTCCTCAAATTCAGTTGTTAACCTGAATTCTCATTCTCATTTATGCAGTGGGACTTCTCCCTTGGAGCTTCTGTGCCGAGAATCTGATGTTGGGCTCGGCTACCTGGCTGAATACAGCAGATCAGCCCATGAAAACTTCTATTCCTAGCCAAAGGAAGGAGTCCAGCAAAAGGCAGCACCTACTCTTTCAGGCTTGGAAGCAAGAAAGGGGGCAAGAGTTGGAGAGCGTGGAATCTGAGAAGACAACTGAAAGGTAAATGGGGGTGGGAGAGAGGAACAGGATACTGCAGAGTCAGCGGGAAGGTGCCAAGTACTGTGTGATAATATCTGGGTGGCTGCTTTAGAAGTTCAGTTACGACTGGCTGCTTTCCATTTGAGGTGGTTTTCAGTTCACTTTTGGTTTATCAGAGTAATTCTTGGACTTAACAGAAAGACTGGGGAGTGGCCTTATCGGTGCAAACTCTGCCCTGATCTTTTTGTGTAACAGCCTTGGTTTAAAGGCCTTCCTGATGAAGCACTAACGCCTGCATTTTTCGAGCAGTGAGTCTTCCACATTCTTCCAGTAACACCTTTGGCTGAGAAGAGCAGCTGGTGTGCCAGAGCTGGGCTGCCTGGAGGACCAGCATTTTTGTAACCAGGCAGCCAAAGCAGTGGCTACTAGGGAGGGGACTGGGCTGCAGCTCCTGAAGGCTGGCTTGGTACTTGATGTACCAAATTTGGGGTAGATTGATTTCAGTCCCCTGCAGAATCTAAAAATTCTGTGAAATATTTTCTGTTAAAAAAAAATAGTAATGTGAACTCCAACAATTTTTCCCCATTTTTACAGGTGACATTAAAGTTAAAGATGGGTGGTGGAGAAAGATTCAACATTCCAGTTCCCCAGTCTAGAAATGCCACCAAGAACCATCAACAACTTAAAAACAGGCAGAAGAACAAAGATCAGAATTCCCAGATGAAGACCTACATGAAGAAAGAAAGAGGACACGGATGCAACTCATCGTCTGGTGCATGGCAGGCCATGCAAAAAGGGGGGAAGAACAATGTTCATTTCCCCAAGAACCAAAATTGGAGTCCTACTTTGTCGAATCACAACCTGTTCTTCACACCTCAAACCAATCAGAACTATGCTGGAGCAAAATTTAGTGAGCCACCCTCACCAAGTGTTCTTCCTAAGCCACCAAGCCACTGGGTACCTGTTTCTTTTAAACCTTCTGACAAAGAAATAATGACATTTCAGCTTAAAACATTACTGAAAGTCCAGGCTTGAGATGTAACCTTTTTGTATTTTGTTAAGTTAAATTCACAGGGTTTCAAATTTGAGAATTGTCATTCCCAGTGCCAGATGTGGAGGTGTACACAACCAGATGTTCTTGCTGTGTGTAGTTAGGTGCTTGCAAGAGGAGGGGACAGATTTGCCTTCCCCTCGTGTTTTACCTCAAAAGTGGTGTGCTGTGTTCACTGTGAAATAGGTATTTTCTGTAGACTCCATCTCATCAAATCCTGAACAGTCACCCGTTGTCACATTGATGTAAGAGTGAATAGGACTCTCCCAGAATTGGAGTTGTGAGCTTAGATATGTTGTTAGAAATCCAGCTCTTACCTAACTTAATGCAGCATTTACAGGAGAAAAAAAATGCACTGAAAGCTTTCATCTGGTACCTCCCTGCTGTCCAAACCTTCCCAAATTTGTGTAAAATTTGCTAGTTCAGTAAAAACTCTGCAGAGAAGTTGCCAGGCAGAGAGCTCTGCCCGGGTGTGAGGTAGAACACGGATTATTGTCCTTTATTGAGCTTTATTTGGCACTTTGAAATTGCTGGACAAGCATCTCAAGCCTGGGAATAAAAGTGAAATCTAGGCAATAATGGTGCATGTTCTGCCAGGGATGGAGGAACCCCTGGGGCCAACCAACAATGCTGCATTGCCAGATGACTGCCAAAAAAACCTCAAAAAAATCCTTTGTTATTCCCATTGCACTGATGAGTCCTTAAAATGGGTTTTTAAAATCATGAAAAAGGCAGAGTAGTTATTTAGGCTAGTCTTAAATTGGTTACCCTGTAATAGATGTTTGAAGTTGCAGTAGCTTGTGGCAGGTATTAAAATGTTTTCATAGGGAAGACAGAGCCATGTAAATAAGTGTAAAACTTTGTAGCATATGTAAATTTATGCTGGGCTTTCCTGCACAGAAGTTATTTTTAGTACAAAACTGCTGAATGTAAGATGACCATGTTGAGTACATGGCCTGATTTAAAAAAAAAAAAGATATTTTGTTTAAAAAAAAAAAAGAAAAAGGACATTTGTGGCTGTGCCCTTGCACTTAACAGTGAGCATACCCATTTGACTTGGTTGTGAGCTCATTTTTGAAGTCAACTCAGTGCAAAAGAGGCTTTAGAATTTTTTTAATAAAACAAAAAACCTAAAAAAAAAAAAAGCTGCTCAAGTTTAAGATACTCCTGTTCTGAATGTATAACAGAGGTGTGTATGAAATGCTGAAAAAAACACTAAGGTGTTCCAAATCAATCAGGTATTTAATGAGAAATGCAAATGGCTGAGTTGGAGTGCTTGAGAAAACCAAATGATTTTAACATGTTTCTGTGATGCCTCAATGCCACAAGGTTATTTTGTCCCAGTATTCACTGGACTAGATCAGCTCCAGCCTGGAGCTGGCAGCTGCTGTTGCAGTTCAGTGGATGCTGTAACAAACAACTGTGAGAGCAGAATCCCAAGGCCATTCCCAAACACAGACATGACTAAAAGAAGTGCTTTAACTTGAGTTTTGTAGATTGTGGAAGGTTTTCTGAGATGTTTTTCCCTGTGTGTTCAGGAGGCAGAGGCAGCTGGCTGAATGTTTACAGACTTATCACTCCACAATTGGCAATCTTTAATCTCAGGCCTTTGTGACCTGTGCCCTCCCCAGTGTAGGAGCTGTATCCCCCTTACAATCGTGTCTACCTGACTTCAAATTGTCCATTACTGATGGTGTATGTATGAATTGGAAGCAAATTTAAATAAACAAAACTTTTCACCCCCTAAAAGCATCCCTTTCTTTGAAGGTGGTAGGAGTACATCATTTTGGCAGGTGGAGGAGTTCTGTAAAGCTCTGACACTTGGGACTACTGCTATTTATCTGGCAGGCCTCAGGAACCCGAGTGCCCCAGGTGCACATTCTGCATGTGGGTGTGGGGATGAGCTGGACATGCCAGCAAAGGAGGGACCCTGAACTGCAGCCCCTCCACCACTCGTGAACACAGGGCTGGCAAGCTGCAGCACTCTGCCCAGGGAGGGGGGACCCAGACTGAGGCAACTGGTGGGAGCTGGTGCGGCTCAGCCAAGCCACGACCAGGGCTGGAGGGACTGGGGATCAATCTCCAACACACTATGGCTGTATTAATTAATTCAGAAGGTGCTCTCAAGATATAGTCAAAACTTGTACATTTTATTCCCAATTCACAGGGTTATTTGCACAGATGGAACACAAAACTCAAGAAAAAAAGGATGTGTATGAATAAAACATTAGCATCTTTTGATCAAACACACTACAGGGTACACAATCTTCCCTTCCTAGAATAGTCTTGTCAGTAAGAGCATCTTTAGACAAGTAGTATAGCAATGGACTACAGACTTTTTAAGCAAGTTACAAGATAAATGGAGAAAACCAGCAATTATTAATGGGCAATTATATCCTAAAAATGTGTAAATTTATCCCTTTGTACTTCAAAATGTTAGTCTGCAACATCCCTGCCAAAAAAATCAAGTAGCAGAGCTGCAATGTAGATAATCCAATTGCCCTTCTCTGAACAGATTTCAAGCTGTTAGCCCAGACTAAACAGAAAGGAAATAAAAAAAAGAAGCTCTTGGCAAGATGAGAGCTCAAAATAACATTGAAATTGAAAATTTCCACTTTGAATAAAGCCATTATACTGTACATTTCAACATCTTTAAAAGACATAGAAAGGATAACATTTAGCTTTCAGAGACCAGTCTATTATAGTCCCTAATTTAAACACCCATCTACTTAACCACTAAATTTAAGATTTTTAATTATCAGTTGGGTGCATGGACTTTTGGTGAAAAAGAAGTTCCAATAGAGCCTTCTACGACTGCTGAGAGAAACCAATCCGCTGCAGATACTTTGGAGCACAGCCATTACTTTCAGCAGAATTATTATTTTTCTTTAACATGCTACTTCAATTCTACAAATTTTGCAGGAATGACAAAAAAATCTAGTTTACCACAGAAAAACATAATTCCCACCGTTCTTGAGACTCCAAAAGAAAGATGCCTAGACATGATCTTGTGCAGCCTGCGTATGTTCTTGCATTCCAGCTGTGCATAACCTGCAGGTAGCTTGCACAAGACAGGCTCCTGCTTTTTTTAGAGCAGGACTAGGACACCTGCACCGAGGGAGGGAGATGTTATCTAGATGGGCTGTGGCTTGACTTGCGTGAATGCGTAAACATTCCCTGCCCTTTTTGGCCACATCCTGCTAACTCGTCCCCAACTGAAAGGCCCACAGAACAGCTTCTTCACAATTTTTCCATGGGAGCAAGAACTAGGACAACATCTTTATTCATGCACTCTTGAAACATCGTGGGTTTGTGTTCGGCTTTTCTGGCTTGTTCATATACACAAGTCAAGTCAAAGTTTAGTCCTACCTCTGGGAGAGAAAGAAAGAACCATCAGAACTGTCAGATACTACATTACACTTGCAATGAACTGGATTTTTAAAACAAAAATTTAAACTGTGCTATACATAAATGTTGAGGCACACAATATAAGGACATGCTGACAAGATAGTTTAGGTATAGTTATGGTTACTCTGCGGTCTCAAAGCAGAACCTCAGCCTGGCCACAAAGATGTTTCTCCTCCCTTCTCCCCACCCATCCAGTTGCAGCTGGCTGGACTAACGTGGACTAAGTGGGATTTTAGTCACAGAGACTATATCCATGTGGGAATATTGAAAAAGGGTGGAGACTTCTGCTGTTGCCAGCAGAAAGCTACAAGATAATCACAGCTCAACTTTGAAGGCTTAGGAGTGGGGTATCAAAACCAGTAAGTGCTTTTCAGAGCTGTTTTCCTCCAGTGGCACAAGAAGAACCACAAGTGCCAAGAGGCACTTGTTTCTAAAGGTCATCAGCAAAGTTTTATCACCTGCCAGACAAGCACCACTGGCACCATTTTTGATATGACAAATACAAATCAAGAAGGCGATACTAGAAATTTGGTACCATATCAATCTTCAATTGTTTTTTAAGTACTTCATCACCTGGCTAATAAGATCTGAATTATAACCACAGGGCAGTTGCCCAGCAATAAAGAAAGTTAATGGAAAAGAAATTTGAATATATTAGACTAAAACACACGCTTATCTTTCTTATTTTGTCTCGTACCCCTTTAAAAATGCGAAAAGATATTTACTTGGACGTTAAATGATAAATTCCTGACTTCACTGAAATACATTGTAAGGATTTCACTCCATAAGGGATGCAGAGCTCTGTTCCTGATCATGCTCTGGAGTCAAATTCTAAAGCTACAATAATTCCAGTGGATCGGTATTGCCTTCATTTTTTTATTACAGCATGTTTGCTAAATTTACAGCAAGCAGAAAATAAGCTGGGTCTTTAGTTATTTTGATCAAAACATTGATGTTTTAAAGGTAGTACACAATATTTGTTAAAAAGAACATATAAAAATACCTTTTTAGAAGCCTCTATAAGAAAGGAAATACAAAGTTTAATCCCACAACTTTCCTCCGCTAGAGCTGCACGCTACTGCTACAGTTTTTAAATAGACTTTTTGCTGTTTTTAAACTATACATCCAGGAAAGTCTACAAAATTAAAGGAACGTGCATATAAATGATTGCATAGCAGAACATGAACATTAACTGCAAACAGTAAAGGAAAAGTTAGAAATACTATCAAATGTACAAAGATTCTACGATCAACCCCCTAAGCACGTTCCACTGCCAGTATTTAAGAGCCATCTGTGTTTCTTTAAAGGCCCTGCTGGAAACACAAAACCCAAAACCTAAAACATTTCTCTCAAAAGGAACTTTTTGAAATCAATGTCTATATGCTACTACAAGAGACAACGAGGAATACTAGGTGTCTGATGCTGGCTTTTGACAGTAAAGAGAAAAAACAACGCCAAAAGCCATTTTCATAACAAAGTATTTTGCCTTCTAGAGAAATACTGGTAAGATTACACACTGGTTTTGTTATTTTTTTTTTTTCACATTCAATTTACTAAATATACTGTATTAGTGATAAACTAAATAGCTAGAGATGCAGCTCTTGTTCATATCCAACTTCAAACACTTGTTCTGAAGGAAAATGAAATCTTGTAACCCAACCACTACCCATTCTGAGGAAGAAGTGATTCAGACTTGCTCGATCAAATACTTTTTGATGTGTAACAGCAAGCCTTTGTTACTCAGGAAGAGAGATGGCTACAGTTTTATACCTATGAATACACCAACTAACCACAGGAGTCATTGGCATCAAAGTTTAGTTCTTATATACTGTACACACACAACTCGAAACAATCTACTTGTATCTAACAGCAGGAAAACTAAGCAATTTTATGGTTAACTGCTCACTAAAATTTAGAATAGATACAAAAACTGCATAAAATGTACACACAACCTAATATTTAGTTGCTCTGCCATTTGCTGAAATTTAATCTTCCATTTCCAGGTCTTTTTCCCTCCCTCACCCATTCAGTACTAGCAGCCAGTTCAAAAGCAGCGAAGCCTCTATCCTGACAAGTCACAGCACTGCACGATCTCCGACTGAGCTTCTGAGCCCAAGTCTCTCCCCATGGAGCATGTGCAATGTTAGTACCAACTCTCTGGATGGCAGGATTAAAGAGAAATCTCAGAAATCTCTCTCCATAAAGCTCCATTTACCAACCTACTCGTGGCAGCAGGCACGGAGAACAGAAACCTGCCTCTGAAGGATGGGAAGGTCAGACCGCCAGCCTGCGTTTCGCAGCGGTCAGTGTTGCACTAAGCTGTCCAGTTTTCCTTTTTATCACAAAGCTTAGTGTTAAAGAACAAGTTAAACACTCAGTTTAACTGTTCAGCACAAACTGGTACCAATTTCTCTACGGGTATGACATTTTCCATAGGACAATGTTGCAAGTTACGATCAGTCAAGTCATCACCAATATCTAAGCATTAAAAATGCAAATCTTTACAAAAATATACATAGAGACACCACAACCAAATCAGTAGCTGCCCATGACATTTAACCAAGTGGACATTCTCTCTCTCTCTCTCTCTCTTTTTCTCTCTCTCTCTCTCTCTCTCTCAGTTGCAGGTCAACAATGTTTTAATTTTAACCATTGTCGGCTACAGGGAAAACTGACAAAGAAAATATTTTGTAGCACTGTTGCAACATCATATTCCTGATAATTTAAGTAAACTGAACTGTGTGTAAATGAATCTTACATGCCTAGAAACAACATGGATACACGGTTAGTGGCCACTGGACTTGGGACTAGTCCATGACCTTGATCTGGATTTTGATCTAGATCTAGAATGTGATCTTGACTGTGATTTGGATCTAGCTGGTTCTTTTTTTCTCGACTCCTTTTCATATCTTGAGCTGGACTTATAGTGTGTTTTAGAATCTGTTTTAGAGGTGCCTCTAGATTTGGTGTGAGATGCAGACCTAGACCGTGATTTAGCCTTCATTTCTTTCTTGGGCTGTGACTTGGATCGTGATCTTGAATTGGACTTAGATCTTGAAAAAGATCGATTGCGGTGTTTGAACCTATCAGAATAAAGGGGAGAGAGGAGATTTGAATGTAAAAACACTATTCTTAGACATCTAGTACATTAAAAATTGTTTACCGTTTTTTTTTTTTTGCAGGAGAAAGTTTTTTTTAAACCTATAGTTAAAGGAATACAGTGATCTAGTTTTTAATTTAGAGGGTGTAAAAAGTGTTTTACCTATCGTTGTCCGAATGGCTTCTGCTACGACGAGGTCTTCCAGTAGGTCTACTGCTAAAAAGGTACAGCAGAAAAAGTAAACGGTGACAAATACCGTTGATGTACGTCTGCAAGTGCTTAATAAATTATTTTTCAAGCTATGGGTTTGTTTTTAGTTATTCTCCAGTGAAGCACAGAATCATTCTGCTCAGTGTTTCCGATTTCACGGAGCATGCAAGATACGCGACTCCCACAAGTTACTCCCACAACAGTAAAAACCAGAATTTTTCAAAACATTAATACTGAAATAGCCAACGTGCTGTTTCTCCTCCACCAGACTGCAAGCAGCTGAAGTCAAACACACTCCACTTACTTTCTGGGACTATAGGATCTTCTATAGCTGTAATCAAAAGAACGACTTCTAGACCGTCTCCGTTCGTAACTCCGACTCCTGGACCGCCTGTATCTGTCGTAGTCATCGTAACGAGAAGAACTGTACAGGTTTCTCCCTTCCTTGGCTTTCATTTGATTTGGTGCTGTGAAAAAAATGGCAATATTTAACATTTTTCATTAAAAAAAGATGCCCTGCTTTCCCTTTGGTGGCATTACTAATCCACGTTTGGTATTCCTCAGCAGAAAGCCCAATGCACCATCTAGCAGAGATGTTTATGAAGAAGAGACTGCTGTATGCTGTTCACTTCTTGCTGCCTTAAGCACTGGATAAAAATTAATGCAGCCTTGTGGACATTATAATCTAGAAAAAAAAAATCAAAACCAATCCCTCAAAAATCAATAAAAAAGGACTAACACTCCATAAAACCAGATCACAGAACTGGCTAAGGTGATTTCAGCCTGCCTTGAAACTGGTGTAACACATCAATCCATGACCTAAACATTCCAGCATTCTTAAATTTACTTCAGAAGTGAAAGCTATTGGGGATGTAAACACCCATTTTCCTGACTACACAGCAGCACACATTATACCTGATCCACAGTCATCTTTAATGATTAAAAGACAGCTTCTAGAAAAGCTTCGGTGGATGCCACACAAAGAGGAGTTGGATTCTAAAAGTGCCCCCCCTGCCAGCACAACAATGCACATTCACTCTGGAGCTTAGTTATTAAAGTAGTAATTAAAAAGAATGAATGAACTTATCTTTGCTCTGTATTAAATCCCATTCAAACCCAAAGACCACGCTCAAAGTATTTTAAACATACGCTGTAACAAACACTATCTGTGCTAAATGGTGCCAAATTTTATGCTTTAAGTGCTGCTGTTTAAAACACCAAGGTAGATTTAGTTAATTTTTGTTCAGAAACTTAGAACTCCCAATATTTATATACAGGACAGCAACCTGTCCCTCAGAGCATATAATGTCCTCTGACTTCCATAAGAACTGTGTGTATTTGTGGGAAATCTGGACAGTCAGGCTGTTTCTTTAACAGCTTTAGCTGAAAGATCTTTAAGGTGCTGCTTTTATTCCCCAGTTGCATGTGAGTATCATAGTCCTGGTTTAGATTAACAAGTATGTGTTACATTTCCCAAAAGTATGTTTTATTTCTATATAATATCCCTATCTATATATATTAAGAATATCTGTATGAATAATAGATTTAAAAGACTTGAGATCTCTTTATAATTAACTGCTCTGAAAACAAGAACTGAGGGACCTTGAGATTTCCTTTTATCCTGAAGCCAAATGAAAATGAAGCCATTACCTCAATCCTGGAAATTGGATTGCACTGGGAAATGTCAACACAGCGTCACCAGCATAACATAAACATTGCAATATGTTAAAGCCAGGCCACTCATCCTGACAAGGGGAATTTTCAACACTGGAGCTTTCTTTGCAGACACACACAGAGCTGGCACAGAAAGCTCTGAAGAACTTCCAGCTAGCAACAACCACCAGACTCTGAGGAGTGACTGCTGCACTCAGTTACCTGTTTGTAACTCAAATGAATCACGAAGAGCAACCGGACAAAAAGCCAAACATCCACACGCTCTTTATGGACAAGAGCACACGCCAGGAGCCAGCAGCAGGAGGGGAGGCTGCCCCAGCCTGGCAGGGCTCCCCCGGGCACTTACTCTTGCGGTCCCCCTGTGCGAACTGGATCTCGATCTGCCGGCCGCAGATCCACTTCCGGTCCAGGTTGTGGAGAGCGTCCTCAGCGTCACGGACATCTTCAAACGTGCCCAGGGTTAAGGTACTTGGCAATGGCAGGAGTTTATACATTTGGTGTTTAAAATAATAATAATAATGATGTTATTTTCTAATTTTACAGGTTGGTGGTTGGATTTTTTTTTAAGTTTTTGGTCATGCTAAAGTACACACTAGTCAGTTTTGTTTAATTAACCAGGAGCTATCTGGTAACTCCAATAGTAAAATTAAAATCTCCTAATAGGGTCACAACCTTATCCATCAGCAAGCAGTTGCTGTGTGTTACTCTAGCTTTTTTCTTCTCCCACTTGTACTTATGCAAGGAAAAAAATGTTATCCTTTTCAAAATACATTTATTAATGGTCATTCAAGTTCTTTCTACTACATCAACTGGACTAAGATTAAACCCTGGCTCTTCAATTATGCTCAGCATACCAACAGTAAAAATTAACATGTGTTTATTCATTTTGAAATTGGGATAAAGCTTTCCTTTGCTTTCACCAGCTTGATCTGCAGTTTAAATTCTGTAATGCCATGGACACGTACACAGACCTTCAAGAGTCTGAGATAAAAGCCCAGACCAAAGCCCTACACTGCCCATCGGGGCAGATGTTCAGGAACACAGACTACTCATTTTAAGCCACTACTGTAATTCCCACACCTTCTTCCAGCTACGTGAGACCTGAGAGAACAAATTGCCTTTCTCCTGGTAGCAACTCATCATTAGCACCATCTACGCAGAGAATACACTGCTGTGTTGTAGGCATAGATGCTGAGAAACCAGGAAGGAATGAACTTTCACTCAAGACCACAGTTACAGCAGCACTCACAAGAGAAATGTTACAGGCTTTGTCAATGGACTCAACCAGAACCATTCATTAAATTACTGCTTACATGACAAACAGAAGAAAAACTGTTATTCTGTAGGATACATCAGGTATGACTCCTTTAATCTTGGCCACCATTCAACTTCATCTTGACCTTTAACTCTTTAAGTGCTTGTCAGAAGGACTTGTCATGAGATGCTTGGCCAAAAATGACAGATGGCTTTATCTTTTACTTTGAAAAACAACCTTTTCCCCCTTTTGCAGATAAAGCGAGGCTTTGTCTCCCATTATGGCTTGTCCTTCTTCCAGCTTTGCTTTATTTTTTCTTTTCCCAAACTCTCCCTTCTCTTCAAGCCTGATCCTTAAGAGGTCTTTGGCTTGTCTACTTGCCTTAATTGTTGAACTCTACTCTAAAGGTTCTTTCATGCTTTCTCTTTGGGGTCGCCAATACTGTACAGCTTTACATTCTGAGGCAACAACAGAGGACAGCAAATTAGGGGACAATATTAAAGAAAGAAGTTCACCTCATTTTTTAAACAATCTGATTTTGATCAAGTGATTCCAGTTTCCATTTGTTAATTAACAACGAATATCAGCCACAGTTTGCTAAAGCACAAATTTACTTATATACCAGAGATAACAAAAAAAACGTGCTAGACAATTTTGAGTCAGTGATAAATTTTCATTTAAATCATATAGTATTAATTTCAGCAATATAAGCAAGCTTTCATATTACTGGACTCGATTTAAGCTTTGCAAAAAGGCAAAGAACAACTGAGAGAAGTTAATCTTCAAAAATAATGAAACACCACAAAAATAAAGACACTTATCAGATACAACACAAAACAAACTGCTTTTTCATTGAGATTGGTTACCTCTTACACAAACTTGAATTTCAAACGTCAACACCCCTCACTAATCAGCCATCTGAAGAAAGGATATTGAACATAAGCAAATCCTCTGGGACGACGAGTGTAGAAGTCAAGTGGGACGTACACATCAACTATAGGCCCGTAACGACCAAACTCACGGCGCAAGTCTTCAGACCTAGAACATCACAAACACCTTACATGTTTTTCCACTATTTAAGGTGTTAGAAAACATTCACCAAATGAAGAAAAAAATATCAAAAATCTACAAATACGACCACCCTTCTTTTTGGAAGTAGTTCATAAAGGATGAATGCAGTGAAACATTTTTTTGGGGGGGGGAAAAGTGTTTGAGTGGTTTGTTGTTAGGCTGCACACCAGGCTGTTCTGGGACACCCAAAACTTGGGGTGCTTAAAACATCACCTGTAAGATCCAAACAAACAAGGCAAGACTGAACCAGTCACACAAACTGGTTTGCACAGAGTAATCAATACTTACAACCACATCAAATAGGACAGGACCTGAGGAAGTGCTTGTGCCCTTAGGACAGCTTTTCCAAGAGCTGAGCACAGAACTCTTCAACACCTCTGTAACTACACCTGAAACAACTACAGTCTCCTCAACACAGAGGTTTCTGAAATCACATCAGCTTCTTTACACATATTTTTGTGTCATTTGAGGACAATAACCTGTGTGAGGACTGATGTAACACTATGTATGTGATATGAAGAGTTGCTGCTACTCATTTCTCTTCCTCATTGGTTTGGAAAGAACCTACAGAGCATTCAGGCAGTGCTGGTAGAAGGGAACTACAACAACCAACACCAAGATCTTGCAGTGAAACAGTCTCTAAGAATGCACCATCTAATCACAAGCTTATGGTGAATGCCTCAATCGGATCCACATGATTTTAAAAAGTCTGGAAGTAAAAGTCCTCCTTGACTGTGCTTAAAGCAAAATAAACTGCTGGAAAAAGAAAATTCATGCAAAAAAATAAAAAAACTGAACTTATTTATGCTTTTGATCACAATAACGTTCTCAATTCACTCCATTCCATCGTGCCCACGCTACTGTTATTTGCTAAACAACTTCGGTGCAAGCTGCCCAGGCAGCAAGTTCACAAACTCATACTTGCATTTTATACAAGTAGCCATTACAGGGTCTTCCACACAAATTCCACAACAATTAACAACACAAGAGCGCTGTAACTCAGAGGTGCTCGAGAAACGTTTCACAGCTGGTAACACACTGCAAAACAGGCGTGGAGGAATCTAGCAGCTTGCTAAAAATATGCGAGCAATAAATAAGAACCTGTGCAGCACGCACTTTTAAATTATTTCAATTCGCTATTAAACGTTATCGAGTTAAGCTGCTGCACATTCATTCCTTACAGAATCTTGCTACAACACAGCGATTACAGAGGAAAAGCGTCGTTCCCTCCCCACGCCGTAGTGAGCGTTGTGAGAGGCCACGGGAAACAACAATTAAAGCAATAACGTTCCACTCGGACTGGCAGCAATTATCATACTAACGGAACCAACCCCGCCAAGAATTCTGGGGACACCCACCGCAAACGGGCTGTTTACTCCCTTCTAGTAACAACGGCGGCGCTTCAAAAGAGCCCTCAGACCTCCAGCGGGTGCTGAGCATCCATCGCCGAGGGGCACGGGCGGCTACCCCCGCAG